TATATATATGTATATAGTCTTTGTTTAATATTTGGAATCCCTGCATTCAGCTGCTAACCCAAAAGTTGGAGGTTAAACTTTACCCAGAGGAGCCTTGGAAGAAAGGACTGGTGAACTACTTTCAAAAAATCATCCATTAAATGACGGAGCACAGTGCTATTCTGACACAGATGGGGTCACTGTGAATAGGCATTGGCTGGATGACAATTGGCTTATTAAGTATTTAGTTTCTTAATTGCATTAGACAGCAATGGCCCTTTCTTGACTGGCAGAGGAAGTATTCTCAAGTTCACCATAGCAGGTCAGTAATTTTGTATGTAACATGTTGACAGATGAAAAAGTATGTATTTTCTAAGAGTCTGTTAAATAATTTGCCTCAACAGCCCATCTCAAATTCTCAAATGAGGAATTACAGAATATTAGAAGCCATGAGATATCTTTATGTTCAAGATGTTCACTCTCATATCATTTGAACTCTAATGTTCTGTGTCTGGATAAAACACTTCATTAGGCCTAACCTGTTCTGGATCAGATGACAATCCATCTCAGCTTGCCTTGAGTCATCTGGGATTATACTAGTCACTCAAAACTGCCTCCATTTGGGAAGTAAATGATATGGTCATCCTAGGTAGAAATGTTGTCTTTCCTGATAGAAATGCATTAAATTAGAATCATGCCTTGTGTGTCTGCTTCCTTGGGAGACTGTGCTTGAACACTGAAGTGTAGGTTTTTTTGGTTCAGTTTGTGCAGATGTTTTCCTAATTACCTGGTGTCTGCAGCCCCAGCAAAGACTTGAGTTTGGAGATGAGAGGATATGAGCCCTCACTGCAGAAGTTGCCCAGGAAGTCATCCAAGTCAAGAGCCCAAACCATGGCACCGCCAAAGCCATTTGCCTTCAAAAATGCCACCTGTGACATACAAGTGTAATCTATCAATCCAACCCTAAGTCATTACAAAACATTACAAAATTACTGAAAGCATGATGCAATAGGATTAAAAAGTTTATGAAAAGGAAATGCAAAGAAAAACATAATCATGTCACCATAGAATAATTTCATTTTTTCATAATAATCATAGATTTGTGCACCTACCATCAATGTTTATATGGTTACCACATAGTGTACAAGCCATGTATAGTCTGGTTTTTGTCTTTGTTTTCACTTACCATCAGAAACAAACATTTCTCAAATTTCTATCTAATATTTCTAAATGTAATTTTTGATCATTGAAAATATTCTTTCATATCAAAGAATCATAATTTAATTTACCTTTTCTTCATTGTTTTCATATTTTATAATCATAAGCAAGACTCTGAGAAACACCTGTACATATGTGTTTTGATCATACTGTGTTTTGTGTTTTCAGTAAATACCCATGAGTTGGAATTGCATTGAGAATTCATCGTCATGGGCATCTTTAATTCTATCCCCTCTCTTGTTAATGTATAGGTATTAAAACTAACAATCTCTCGCCTACAGTCCCAAGTGTCTTACCTTCACTTCCTTTTCCCTAAATATGTCAAAAAAGGAAGGATGGAGACAAGAATAAAGGCTGGATTTGTTTTAAAAGATGGGAGCATTGGTCTGAGTTAGTGAAGAAAATTTTCCACTTTGATTCTTATTCTATCTCAAGTCCTACATTTGTCTATGACAAAACAGAAGTATTTGAGCGTATATATATA